TCTCATTCGCGAACACCCACTGCTAAAAACCGTCCGACGAACACCGAAGCATGATCATATTCACTTGCAGGCCTCCTACACAGAGGCCAACAGACTTCCTCGTTGCACGAAAATTACGGAACCTTCATGAGAGTCAATCATCTCGTTAACATACAAAGCGATCAAAGAAACTCGTCGATAATGAATAGAAATGAATACGAAATAAATTCTCATTTCAACGAGAATCACAACGAGATAGCATAACTTATATATACGCGTGTAATTATTTATTTAAAGTCTGATGGGTGGATATAAATACAGAAAAACAGGATGAAACTCATAAATGTAAACAGTGACATAATAAGAAAATCGAAACGATATCAAGTGAGTAATTTTGAAATTACAAATAGAAATTTTTTATAAATGAAAGTTATCGCAGCTTAGTTGTTAAGTTAAGTTAATTAGGCTAGCCTGACGATTGATTTCTGTACATAATCTGATTATCAGATCTTTCGAAAAAATCAGTTCTAAGAATTAATTCTAAATCAATCTTGATAATTCTAATTATTTTTTTATTATTAAGAATTAACTCTAAATCAATCCTGATAATTCCAATTATTTTTTTATTATTAAGAATTAACTCTAAATCAATCCTAATAATTCTAATTATTTTTTTATTATTAAGAATTGACTCTAAATCAATTCTGATAATTCCAATTATTTTTTTATTATTAAGAATTAACTCTAAATCAATCCTGATAACTCTAATTATTTTTTTATTATTAAGAATTAACTCTAAATCAATCCTGATAATTCTAATTATTATTCTATTATTAATTAAATTATTAATAAAATTATTTTTATAAGAAAAAGTTGCGAGTCAAACGCAAAACAGGCACTGAAGAGCGCATTTTAATTTTAATTTCCCTTTGATTTCTCAATTGAAGGAAAGGCACTGCTAAAAACAGAAACGCAACGTACGTATTATCAATCACGTCAAAGACCTCTCTTTCTCTTAAGCCATAAATCTCTGCCAAATGATTAAGCTTAAACGAGAATGCATATAAACGTACGCGTAATGAAAACATGCAACATTCCATTAGGCCAGCAAGGCACAGAAAAGTCGGACAGGATTCTCGATCGCGTGTGTATCGTCAATACGCGAATTCATTCCTCGATATTCATGGTGAAAAGATCGAGGGATCACGGAGCGTAGTGATCATTGGAGAAACTTTGATGAAACGTTTTGATACTGTGGGAGTGACAGAGTTCATTTGAGTGACTTTTAATTGAAAACTGAAGAAATTTATACCTTGCATTCGTTGTATTGTATATACAGAGTGATTCACGTAACTTGCACACTTGAAGCAATTTTTAAATTATGCGTCTGATGGAAAATTGTTTAATGCAAAAGTTGTACGGCATAATTTAAAAGTTTATTGGCATATCAAAATAAGTTCTTGCACAAACATCCATAGTTTAATAATAAATTGATATAATTATTAATTTAATGATTTAATTACGTGACAATTTACATCGAATCCATAAAATATTCTTACTTCTCAATGAATTATTTATTCACCATGTTTCACAGTATCAAATTCGTAGATATGTAAAAGCACTACTAAATGATACGTACTTTGAATATATGTATTTGGATCCAATTAATTACTATTGGAATTTCGTATTTTTATAAATATACAATTGAAAGAAAAAGAATAGAAATTTACTACTAAATTTCTACTACTAAATATTACAGTAAATACTGTTTTACTTTCTATATTTTATTTTCTATATGATATTATGTTATATATTATATATAAAATATTATATTATATATTATATATTATTATATTTATATATAATATATATAATAATTATTATATATAAAGGTATTATATTATATATAAAATATACATAATATTAAATATATAAAATATATATAATATATATTTTACGTTATTGCTATAATGTTATAAATACAACGTGCAAATACTTTTTGTAACAACTGCATTTATTAAATACAGTTTGGGTATTAATAGGTACAAACGTTTGAAATTTAAATTTAAATTTAAATATCTATGTATACATAGATATATTTACACTTCATTTTAAGTCGATTTAAATTTTTATATATAACGTTGAAAGATTAAAATAAAAATATAGATTTTTAATACTCGTAAAGCTTTCATATTTTAAATCTCGTATCAATATCCAAATATTTAAATTAATATTTATTATAAATATTTAAATTAATATTTAAATTAATATTAATATTAGTTTGTATATTAAATATTACACTTTGGGTATATTATATATTTTTGCATAAAAATCCACAGTCCAGTTATTAATAATATTTTTATCATCAATAGAACGCGGATTTAATTTGAATAATAATAAACACAGCTGCATAAAATATCCGAGTTTTTCTACGTATTGATAACTAATTATAATATTTATTGATACTTTATACCACTCTTCTTCTCGTGGTACTCATAATACTACAAATTTACATAACTATCCTTAATCTACTCATTAGGTTAAATGAGAACAACAAAATGACGATAATGCAATGCAACAAATTAAAATAAAAAGTCTTAAAAGGGTCTCGTAACGAATTCCCGATAAGATCGTTCAATCTCTGATGATACCACCATTTTCATGTGTTCAGAATCAACTCAGGCATACCTGAGTTTTTTCGTTCCCAGGTCAAGACAATCCTCGTCGTTAAGATGGAAATAAAATGGCCGTTCTCACAGTTAACGCGAGATATCTTTTTTTTGCATTAGAATTTCTAACTCGAAGCTTGTTCTTACAGCGAATCATTTCACGCTGCCTTTAGCCCTTGCATCCGCTTTTGTAAATCTAATCAGTTGCCAATTGTGAATGGATTTTTTTGAAGAATGCCGGCAACACTTTCGTTCCTTTCAACAGGCAATCGCCGTTCCGTGTAATTATTCCGAGCAATAAATAGTGAACAGGTGCGAACGCCGCGTTTGATTTGAACGAAGGTGGCGCGGTTAATAGTCGGTGGTATCGCTGAATCTTTATTTGCGATTTAAATGGCTCTCTGGTAGGCAGGCAGCTCCTGTTTCTCACATTTTATCTGAACGAGCAACTAAATAACACAATTCTGTGTAACATATTTCGAAACCATATTATTTGTTGATTGTTCTGATATATCCAGTAAGTTAAAAGATATTTTTTTAAAGTTGATTTCTTGCATACAAACGACCTTATTTTATCACGCATCTTTAGTCCATTAATGCAATATTTAATATTGTTCGTATATAAATCTTTTTCATTTGGTAACTGAAATTAATTATTCTTCTATCTTCTTCTACAGAAGTATATTTAAGATTCAAAGAAACAAAAAAGAGAACACATGTAATACACAGATCAGAAAAATATTAATTATTTCATTCTTAATTAAGGTCAATTTTTAAAAATAAAGTTTGAATATATAGATCTTTTTATTCTGACAATTAAGTGTTTTTCTATAAACACTGTCAATTATTTAGGCCTAAAAATTATTAACTTAATTAACAACAGTGAATAGAGTATTAATAAATAAATTAATTTAACAATTGATTAAATAGACTGAATAACAATTTTTCATTTCCTGGAAATTACAATTCTTTTATTTCTCAGTATTTCATATAATTCGACAATCAATGTTCCAATATTTCAATATTTTTTTATATTAAATTCAAAACAATATTCAATAATCAATATTTTTCATCAAATTTCACAAAAATAGTTTCTCTTCGTCAGTTCCATCGACACAGCAAACTTATTTGAAAAACTTTGATCTTTATCGAAGATGTAACAAAAAAAGATTAAAACGGTCAGTACCTACTGCATGACTCTCACCTATTTATTATTCATTCTGTTTTTTCTTCGGGAGCATATTCATGAAAGGTATAGAACAAAGGGATGAATAATTTATATACACGTGTATGTTTTATGAGCGATGAAGATCTTATCTCAAAAATGAGAAAGATCAGTTCAATTAAATCTATTATGTTCTTCAAGGCTCGTTGTTTAAAAACTTCGAGTTTATGAAACATAAAAATATAACATACTCTAAATTTTTATTCGATAGCTGATAAAATTTTAGAAATCACAAACACCAAGTCAGAATGGTTTTTTTTTTTTTTTTTTTTTGAAACATAGGAACAATTATTTCACAATGAATGGTGCTGAATATAAATTTAAATTTAAATTTAAATTTCACGATGAATATAATTTTAATTTTGAATGCTCACTGAAATTACCAAAAATCTAAAAATTTAACGAACATATCGTTCATTTGCTGCAATAATGATACAACTCATAATGATATAAAATGACATAAATTTTCAATTTTCAATTCACGTCATTAACACAGAAAAGACAGTCATAATTTGCACTATTTTATCGGTAGAATGCAACAAAATTACAACAAGAAGAACCTCGTATCCGTGAATTATGTCAAAATACTGAATTATGTAATATTTTCGTTAAACGTGGAATTTTCTTATTCGACACGCGACCTTTGCAGAGTCTTCTGATAACTATAGTACACTGAATAACCCCGTAAAATACTGAATTATGTCACTGTTGTAATAAATCAAACATGCATTACCAAGACTGCAATTAAAAGCTGAATGAATGACAAACATGTAGCAAATTAAATAGGCAAATTTAATATTATGAAAAATACAATAAAAAAAAAAAAAAATTAACGAACGAGAAACATGTAACAAACTGCATTCGAATGTATTAAAAATTTAAACACTCGTATAATAACTTTCGATATATTTATGTACATGTTCAATGTACATGTTATTTTTGTCGATCCTCTATCAATTGTTTCGAAAACCTTAGATTATCTGTACGATTAATCACTAATGTCAGACTAAACATTTGAAGACTTTTAAGGAATGCCATGACGTCGTGATTGTTTTAAAGGTTTTAACCGTTAGCTGAAATTAGCAAAAAAAAAAAAAAAAAAAAAAAAGACAAGAAACTGAACTCACCTTACTGCTTATGCGAGACACGAGAGTTTCGATGTGACACTGCCATTCCAAAGCTCGTAGAAACAGCAGATGCCATCGGCGTTCCAGAGATTTCGATGTTCGCAGAGCCTGTGACAGTTCCCGTTGTTCCTGTTCCTCGTTCTTCTCTCGATCCTGTTCCTGCTGCTGCTGCTGCAGCTCTTTCTGCTGTTGATTGAAAACCTTGTCCCCCAATTTCACGACCGAACTGACGATTCGACCGTGTGCCTCTATGTCTCGTTGGAGTACCTGCAACCACATGAAAATTCATTCATATAGTCGTTAAACGTGGAATTTTCTTATTCGCGACCTTTGCAGAGTCTCCTGATAACTATAATACACTGTAACTATTTAATCTTTAATTAGATATAGTTGAAAAAAAAATTATTTAGTGCATAAAATTTATCTCACTTTAACTTGTCTGATTTTTAATTTCAATTGTTCAATTTTTTAATTTCTCGATACGAAGAGGTAACAGACTGGTCGAGACTGGTATAGTAAATAAGAATATAAATTCTCATGTAGTAACTCACGATTTGAAAGTTCATAGGAGCCATACATTTTGAAATTTCAACACTCACGACTACATTCGTAAATTTTGAAACAAATCTGAGAATGTGAATGAAAATTACGAGACACTTGATACACATATATACATTCGATAAATATCACGGAAGATTCTCATAGTTTCACAAGCATATTTTAAAAAACAAAACGATTTGCTTCATTTGTTATGAAAATTAAAATATCATTAACTATAGGGGATACTTTTATACATTGTAAGCTACTTTTCCGTAATTTATATAAAGTTGTATGAAATTAAATAATTAACAGTATAAGTTCAAGTATTGTATTATATATTTGCATATGTATACGCCTCGATATTCGGTGAAACTATGTTTAATTAATTATTATACGTAAAGTGACGGTTACTTGACACTCTAACAATTTATCAACAGAATCAAAGCAATCATCTTTCATTATAGTGTTGATGAAACGAAATATTTTGTACAATAAACACATAAAAATTTTCTATGACAATTTTCATCAAATACTCTAAATATAAATATTTCCTGTATAACAAAGAATATGAATAGCACGGCAATTTATTAATGCACCAAGAAAAATCGTGTGCCACGATTGCAAAATGACACTGACTTAAACCACTATGTCGTATCATGTTAAGTTTCATCAAGTCAGTGACAATCCCCGAGTGCACAAATCAGATAACGTTAAGTATCGAAATTAGCATCATCCGTAGGACTGGAAAGCGTGCAAACAGCTTGGTACACGATTATTAAGTGCACGAATATTCGAAAAGTACCCGGAAGCTCACGCGAAAAGATCGATTTATCGACTTTAAATTGCGCATCGGACCAGGTACCGTTATCACATGCCGATCGTCCGAACGTTTTCTTTCACGCCGACCGAATTGGCAGATTGAGCCATGCATCTGCAGGCGTGCGCGATGCATAATAACGCCATTAAAAAACACCGTATTAACCGCTTGCGCTGGCAACTGATTGCGGACCGTAACGAGTGACCAAACCGTATACAGTAACTCGTCGCTTTCTTTCTGAACTCGCCGGCACGATATGACCGGATAGAAATTACTGAGAAGCAATACATTTATTATTTGCTTTGCTCAGGTTTGAGCAAATTGGTAATTTTCTAGATTCGTTGCAGTGTGTTTTTAGAAATTTAAATGGTTTCTTGTAAAATGTTGAAGCTCGTGTTCTTTCTGATATTGTAAACTTTTCTCTACTCGTTTTTACTTTATTCTCTCTGGTCCAAGTTAAGCTATAGTGTTAATTGGTTTCGGAGCTATCAAAGTGACCAATTCGTAATTTTCCATGGAAATTTTGACGATTCGTACAACAGTGTATTTCTAGAAATGTTAATGATTCCTTTTAAAATATACTGAATTAAAATTTGTGATCTTTCTAGTATCATAAACTTTTCTCTACTCGTTTTTATTTCATTTTACTTTCTTTAAACTAGGTATTATATTATAATCTGGGTATTATTATTATAATATATAATATTATATATTATTATAATAGTATAATATCAGTTAAAATCTAGTGTTAATTAATTCTAGAACTACCAAAATTCCAGACAGCTTCCTTAATAAGGAATGAAAATTCTCGATGGAAATTTGTAAATCTTCTAAACTTATAAATCCATTCGAAATATCTCACCGATTCTAAATATTCTGATACTAATATCTCCAGATGAGTCAGTGAAAATCCAAATACATGTCTAACCACATAACCCGATAACTACAGTTGTCAGGGTCGTGATAGGATCACCGGATCCTTACGCGTTCACCAAGTCTGTGATTATCCAATTCACGAGTACATCCAAACCGAACATCATCACGAACATCATCAAGCCCAACAACAGATCGTTTCCTTCAACGTTAAATGCAACAAGCTTACGTGGCTGAGTCGTTGACGTTTTCGCTGGTCAAATGATGGAGCACGTGTTGACTGACAGCGACTGTTCGCAACTTTCTCGTCCAAATTCAATCGGACATCAAACTCGAACAGGCATTTCATTCACGGCGATTATCTCGTAACTAGGCGTGCGAATATGGCACTTCCGATATGCAGTGATATCGCTCGGTACAGCACTTCGGCCACAGCTTTCTCGCTTTTCAGAGTCCTGTCCTCCTCGGTGCGCTTCCTCCTTTCTACGAACCGGCCCGGTCAGGTGAAATTCATCAATCTGATGGCGAACGAGCGAAAAAGAAAGAAACGAGAATGGTACGGCACGAGATGGAAAGCGACGGAGATAAGACGCACACGTAACGAGTATGCTACGCGCGGAGCATCGTTCGACATTCCCAGTGCAAAGGAAGCATAAATTGGGATTACGATTTTCCTGCCCACGGTGCGATTCGAATTAACGACGAGAACGCAGCCGCGCGAGTTGTTCACGTTTCCTTTCTGCTCTTAGACCTCGTACTTTCCTATTCTATGCATGATTGTTTGCACGTAATTTTAAAAAATAAATATATTAAATATTATTAAATAAAGTTTTATAATAGAAATATATTTTAGTAATGGCTAAAAATTAATAATGTTATTGATAGTTTAAAGTGATGAAAATGAATTTTTATTTTTAAATAAATAAGTAAAATTTATTTTTGTACCTTTTGTATCGGGGTTGGTTAATTTTAGTAATTTAATTATCTCGAAAGTAAATGATTTAAATATGTATATATGTATTTTGTAGAATAAAAAAAATAAATTAAATGTTTGTCGTGTTTATTAATATTTAGTTTCTTTTTTAAATAAATTTAATTTATATACAATATAGTAATGTCTTCTCCAAAAATTAGTCGCGTTACGTCAATGGACGGTCGATTCTTTTTTACGAGAGAATCAATCCTCTCGAAATCGAGATCGAGCACAGTGATCTGGAAAATTCACAGAGAAATTTTGTTTCTTAACTAAAATTTAGTTTCTTTGAAGTAAAATGTAGAAAATTTGATGAATATTATAGAAAGTAACGCATTGTAAATATTTTATACATTTTCTGTGTATGTTTCATATGTCATTTTCAAATATAATTAAAAAAAAAATATAATATCGATAAAAAATTTTGTTACGCGACGTATAATACAAAAATTATTCTGCTAATTCATTTATTTACCATTTATGCTGCATACTAATTTTTTTTTATGAAACATGTGCCCGTAGTAAATGTTCTGGTAATTTCTACGAACATTTCCAGAGCTTTATCAACAAAATGTTTCACATAAACATACACGTGCAGATACTACATTTTACGAGCTACAGTAAATAAACGATTGTCTCCCATTCGTTCCCCGAAACTGTGCGTATCGCGATAATCCGTTCCAACGAAATTTCGCGTCTAGTTTCTCGTTACGTGTAATCAGATACACAGAATGCCGGAGTGAACGACACGAACGATAATTTTTTTTTTTTTTTGCAGAGGAAACGAGAAGACCTTCTCTCCCGAGTCGAAGCGTAATGAGCATTGCGTCGAAACGCTTGACTTCGCTTCGCGGAAGCAATAAAGGCATTTTAACTGTTTTCTTTTGCACGCGTGTGCTTAACCTTTGCACTCGAGCGTACAGCGTGCGTCGATGCACCGTGATTTATCTCCAACCGTCGAGAAAAATTCACCTGGATAACTATCTAATCTGCCTTCTTCGCGAAAAAAAAAAAAAAAAAAAAAAAAAGAAAAAGGAAAAAGGGAGAATCGCGCCATGTAAATCATCTGACGAGCTGGGTCTGATACAACGTTCGGTTGGTCGCGATGCGAATCAGAAATTTCGCGTTGTTCGGTGTTGCACGCTTTCTCGAGAACCGAGTTTTCCCGGTGTAACGAACAGTCGTCACGTCTGTGAAAGATCGTCTCGAAATTGAAAACATCTTCGCATTGGAGATTTTTTTTTAATCAACACATACATACGTAATACACATACACATTTATTCACATATGTACACTCTCTCGTTCGAATGTTTCAAAATTGTAAAAATCGAATAATCTGTAAACTATTAATATATTACATCAATTTATAGGACCGATATAACACACGATAATTAATTATATTGTACAATCGATGCAATAAGAAAAAATTTATTAAAAATTTATATGTGAAAATATAATTTAAATTATTGTTAATAACAATGAAAAGTATAAATACACTTGATGATAAAAATGAAACTGAATAGTATAAAATTCTAATTACTTTTGTTGGATTTTTAATAATATTTAAAAATCTAATTTACAAAATTATTGAAAATTCATAATTAATTCATTTTATTATAAAATTATCAATTATTATTAATATAATAAAACATAAACTTGGTCAAAGTAGCACTGTGCAGTTGGACAGTAGACTAAACAGAGTTTGTCTGACAGTTTATCGACTGTATCTACTCGTTTAACGCCAAAACTGACGGACTTTTTTACAATTGCTAGAAAAAACACCGGTATTTTCAAATTAATGTTGGCTTTTATTCAGACAGAGATAGAAAACTATATTGCTGTATTTATTTTAATTAACATCGTTTGAATTATAATGGTAAAATAATTCTAGAATATTTTGGCACACGTTAGAAACCGATAGTTTTAATACTAAATGTTTCATGTGCCCAGTGAAATTTTCAAATTCAGTGAAACGAATGAAATTTTAATACTTGCTCAATTGGCCAACTCTTACGAACTCGATCTGTTTATCTGAACGTTAAATTTGATAACTTGAACAGAGA